GTGCTAACGGACATATATATATATATATATATATATATATATAAATATATAAATATATATATATATATGAATTTGAACGGATGGTGTTTTTGGCCTCTAGGGACCTCAAAATGAAAAAAAAATCGGTCCCGCGTCCAGGTCTTACCATGAGTACTACGGTAATAGCTTATTCCCTATATGGGAAATTCGCTAATATAAAAATCTAATGGTGTCTGTCTGTATGTGTATTACTAATAGGTGCAAAAACTACTGAACTAACTGGGCTTAAATTTTACAAAAATATAGTTACCATACCAAGGACCATTATAGGACTATTCACATTTCGATACTGACCGTAGGCTTTGCCCCTTTGGTTTTAAAAGTTCTTAGGTGAACATTTTGAAAGTAAATATTGATTGGTCTCCATGGCTGTGATGAGAACACTAACAATGTTTGTTTACATTTTGCTTTGACATTTAAATATAAACAAGAAGAACTGCTAAACTGCATAATTCACAATTTCAGACAGCTGATACATAGAAATAATATTTTCCATAAATATGAGGTAGGTTTATTTTGATCTAACATTTTATCATGGATTATTTATTCTAAAACTATGTCAATGATTATAGAAAAAAAAGATTTTATAACCGTTGCTGTATCAACTCTGGCTCTGCTTTGGATTTTTTAAAGCGTCTTAAGTTAATAATCTTAAGTGAAAATAATGTTATTGATACGTTTTCATGGAAACAGTATGAAAATTACAATGTATAGATGTTTTGTATGAATTTGGAGGCTACTTTAAATAAATTCAAACTGCTTCACATGTGTTAGATTAACTATACTTTGCACATCACATTGTTTTTTATATGTATATTTAGGTAAATTAAGTTATTGTGTTTTGCCAAACCTATGCTTAAATTAAACTATAGAATACCATCAATAACTAAATTGTCTTTGATTTTTGTTTTCTAAAATCTGTTGTATATGTGCGGTAATACAAAATACTCTTATTTTATCTTAACATAGCTTTCAGTTCAAATTTTACTTTATTTGATAAATTTATTGTTTGTGTTTTGCTACACCACTGATTAAATTAAACCAAGGAAAATATCATAAAACAAAGCAGTACACAGTGTTCTTTTGTTTCTAAAATCAATGAAATATCTGTTACTATGTTTTCCTAATGCAAGTGTGAAAATGTAAAGGCAATGGACGATGGAACTGATTAAAAGAACTGGTTTGTACATTAAGTTGTTTGTTGATATTTTTGTATAGTAGAATCAGAGATGCAATTAAACATATTCTGTATTTGCTATTACATTTTTTAGTCCTTGATGCTTTGATAATCATATTAGTTTTGTCTGCTGTCTTTAATGCTAAATTATTTGTTTGAATTTTTTTATAGTACCTATGGATATAGTTTCTTTAATATTATTTCAAAAGACTGTATTGATAAGGCACAGCAATATTTCTAAAGTTTATAACAGCTGACTTAGTTTTGCTAATGATTTATTGTGAGTGAAAAAACTGAAGATGAAAGGATTTGTGATTTAATGTAAAGAAGAGTTTAAGAAAGATATTTAAATTTAATAATTAGAATTTTAGCAACTTCAAAATTGAAATTTAAAATGTCAATAATAAATTAAAAGATGTGTAATTAAGGGAGATGAAGGAAAATCTGGCAAATCATGTTCAAGTTTTACTCGAAGATTTGGTCGGTTTTTCTCATATCAGCCTCCACAAGATTTTAAATTAATCAAAACCAAAATGGTGGTATCCACTACTTACCAGATTTAAAAGTCATAACTTAAACGTTTCTATTACCGCTATAAAAGTTGAATTTTGTTTCTAAAAGCGTTGGCAGATCTGTAACTATTATATGCAAGAGATAATGATTAAAATGTTTCTATTTTGTGTCCTCTTCCCGTTGCAAAGCACGGGTACAACAGCTAGTATAATATAAGTTGGAGCTGATTAGTTGTTTTGTAAACACGAGATCTGAGAGGAACCAGAATACGAACCCGTGCTAATCTGGTGGCAAGTAAAAACTACACATACCTCAGAAAAATATAAAGCTTGAGCTGGTTGATGCACTAACGCTTTAATGGTAACTGCAGCTCAGATTCAACGACCACCATTGTATAAACTGCTTCTTCAAGTAATAATTTGCAAGGGACCTCATGACCCGATGGATTTATCCTTGCTGCTACGATAACAACTGATAGAACCGTGGATTTTAAAGTTTCAATGCCAATACATAAACTTGCCAAATCATTGCTGGATCTATCCCTGAAGCTGCAATGCAAATGGATAAACACAGCCCAGCTGCCACTATGGAAACACTATCAAGCCTTAAGTTACCATGTTAATAGAAAACTATGCCCCAGCTGAAACTATGGCAACTGCTATTTGGTATACCTAAAGTTGATACGCCATATAGAAATATGTCGCAAATTCCACTGTGGAAATGACTAGATGAAGCTTTATAGTTACCATATGGCAATAGAGATGTCCCAGCTGCCACTATGGCAAATGCTAGATGATGGCCTAAAGTTACAATATCACTGGAAAATATATGCCCTGAAGTTGCATTTCCAACAGGAAATTATGCCCCAGCTATTGCAACTGCTACATAAGACCCTAAATTTACCATGCCAATGGAAAAATATATCCCAAACGCCTCTATGGTAACTACTAGATGAATCCCTAAAGTTACCATGCAACAAGAGATGTCTCAGCTGCCACTGTGGTAAATGCAAGGTCATGTCCTAAAGTTGCCATGCCCATAGAAAAACGTGACCCAGCTGCCACTATGGTAGCTGCTAGGTCATGACCCAAAGTTGTCAAACCCATATAAAGACATAACCCAGCTGACACTTTGGTAACTGGTAGGTCAGTTGTGTCATATACTTCGATGGTCACGCCCTAAAGTTGCCATACCCATATAAAACATGACACAGCTGCCACTATGATAACTGCTTAATCAAGTCTTAGAGTTGCATTGCCAATAGAGAAATGTGCCTCTAAATTCAACTATGAGATCTACAAGATCAATCCCTTAATTTGCATTGATAATAGACATAAATATTCTCCAGCGGCCACTGCGGAAACTGCTGAATTAAGCTCTACAGCTGCATTTCCAATAGATAAAGATGCCCCAGCTGCCACTTAAGGATATTACGAATTCTTCGCGGTTAATTTGAAAGATAATGTCCCAACGTCAAGATTACTAACCAATAAAGTATACTGTATAACTTGATTGCCATGAAAACGGCAAAATTAAATTGCATTGCCTTAGTGACAGATATTATTTGGCCTTTCCCATTTATTACAGTGGTTAAGTGAACCTTAGTTATAACATCTAGGCCTTCATGAAGACCAACTGAAGGATTTAGTCTAATACTACAATGTCAACTGCAAGTGTGTGTGTGACTTATTCTTAGATGATCGTTCATACGTAAACATGTAGACCGAAGGGTCGATTCCAGTGTAGAATTCAATATTCAATAGTCGCTGATTAAGATTGAAGTGGAATCAAATTGTCCTTCCTGTACGGTATGCAAACTATATAATCATGTATAAACGCGCGTTTAGCCGAAACACTAAGGTAGAAACTATACTTCGTTCAAACAGCCGTGGCACCTGAGGGATTAGGAGGCCCCAAGGGTTTCTATGGGTTCTCCTAATCCTTTAGGTGCCACGGCTGTTTGAACGGAGTACCAAAAGTCGGCTCAAGCATGTTGTGATTCCTTAGTCAGGTGTGCCCGGTGTAACTCAGAGCCTCAGAAAGGGTATATCTCCAGGGTGTAATGGACCAGACAGTAAACAACCCCAATCTCGCTCTAGGCTAGACTCCTCGCCCCCCCCCCAAGACAGGTGCGACCCCCCGCGACGCCTCCGCCACTGACAATTACACACCCCCGACTTCTCTCTTGTTCCTTCTGAATTACCACAACCTTTCATTATTTCAATCTTAGCCAGACAAACATAACCACATAATTCAAAATGTTTTCCCTTGCATTACCCTTGGTCATCAACCACGAGAACTATTTACTATTTAAGTCTGACCCCTTCTTTAGATACGTCAACTTCATCAAATTGTGGGAAATTGTTTACAAATCTTCTTTCGCACCTCCTCTTGAGCAATCAGAATTCTTCTTCTTCTCGTAATGCATACCGCACTCACTACTATCAAGAGAGAATGGGTAGGCTATTTTACCTTATAGGAATCCGAGGTTCACCACAACTTCTATCATAAAATATTTTTGATATTTTAATTTATTAGGCTTTATTGTGATTAGGCGAAATGCATTGCATATGTAGTTTTTGGACGATGTACTTTTATGATCAAACAAAGAGTTCTAAGCCCCAATTTGGACGCATCTGCAACCACTATTTCCAACTCTCTTCGTGTAGCCTATATCTTTTATAGTACAGTAGTGACGCAATGAAGAATCGCCTGACGCCGTCATTAAAAAACCGAACTTTTTTGGATAGGTACAGTAGTAGGTCAAATTGATGCTGAAATAATCAAATACAAACATTCTCTTTAGGCATGATATGTCTAGTCTAGGATGAGGTGAATCTATGGTGATATTTCGGTTGGTAGAAAATCCACTGGGGCTGCTTGGTCCTGTGATGAGCTTTAAATCCTCTTCACTCTTTAGTCACCCAAAGCTTGAATGATTTTTGAAAGAGACAAACACTGTAATTAAAGTAACTTTACATGGGCTGCATTATGTATTGTTTACAGTATTTAACTAATTGTTGGAGGCCTCTGTGTCAACTGTACAGTATACATGCAATGTTACAATAGATACGTCAACGTCAACCCTAATTATTTGGGTTGAAAGAAATGTTTAAATTAATCTTGAGTTCCAGCCAGAAAATCCTCCCAGCCAAGCACATACTCAGCGAACCTTGATCCCTCAAACCCAGTAGCAACAAAAAGTGGTCCAGACTTAGAAATATGTTAACTTAATTTACCCTTTACATGATACTTGTGAGTCACCTCTTACCTAAAATTCACACGTTGCACTAAAATAGTCAAAAAGTATCATAAGTGCGCGGGAAAAGAGTGGTTTGATCACAAAAACACAACACAGCACTCACAGACACTCATTCACTCTCACGAACCGGGGTCTCGATCAAACTGAACTTTGGTAGGGGGAAAGGGAGCCGACACTACAGTGGCGCCTCTACCGGGCAACATGCTACCTAAGGGAACCGAAGGAGGGGGCACATTGCTCACCGATACACATAAATTACCACACACACAGACACAGACACACACACACCCTCACTAGTCGTGAGCTCTGAGTGTTTTAAATTAATATTTGGAGGTTACTCAGGCCTCAGATTGGCGTGAGTTTTCTTATCTTCTATTTTCGTCTGATCCACATTCCCGACAACTCTTGGTGGCTTGTTGAAGCCGTTTGCCCCTTGAACATGGATGGCATTTGTATGAAAGAATCGCGTGGTTCCACGCTGGATTCAAGGAATATGTCTCTAATCGTACAGGATTTGAAGAGAACATTCCTAACTCTGAACTTATGCTATTTATCTGTTAGTATCAGGGGCGTCGCCTTTGGGGGGGGGGGGGTAGGGGGGAGCCTCTCCCCCCAGAATCTGGGAATGAGAAAAGTTGGGAATTTCCTTGCCACGAGTTGGGACAGTTGGGAAGGCAGATACAAGAAAAATACATTTTTAAACTAAATAAAATTTAAATATTTGCTAAAATCCATCAAAGATAAATTTCTTTGACTTGGACAAATAAACTTTATGTTTCTTTGATTTTATTTAACTTTGATTAAACAAACTAGACTAAACCATGGCTAAACACGCCTATTTTAAGATATCAATTAGTGGTTTAGTTTGTTCGAGAAATTTTGTTCCTTATTGGACGTATGTTGGCTACCTTGATCCTGTCCTGTGTTGATGATTATGAATGATTCGTCTGCGAGACTGCGAGTTTGGATTTTAGCGAATTTCCCATATAGGGAATAAGCTATTACCGTAGTACTCATGGTAAGACCTGGACGCGGGACCGATTTTTTTTTCGTTTTGAGGTCCCTAGAGGCCAAAAACACCATCCGTTCAAATTCATATATATATATATATTTATATGTTTATATATTTATATATATATATATGTGTGTGTCCGTTAGCACGATAACTCAAGCAAAAATGATCCGATTTTGATGAAATTTGGTACAAACGTGTAAACCTACGTTTATTCGAACGAGTTCGCGATCCAGCTTGATCGGACCATGGGAACGGGGGTTTACGGGGGGTTTTATGGGGTAAAAATAGGTTTTTCCCATTTTGGACCCAAAAAACATTAAATTTAGCAATTTCTTTCCAAACCACTTTGTAGAGCTTAAAAAAACAAATAATTTAGTATATTGAAGCATTATTATGCGCCTAATGGTTACGGAGAAAATTCCAAAAAATTGTAAATTTAAAATTCCCATGTTATTCTTATGGAGAATAAGTAAACTGTTGTAGTTTGCTTGTTTATGAACATATTTTGATCAAATTTGGAAAATGTTTTTATTTCCTATTAACTATTAACATAAAAAAAACTGTTTTACCCTCCCTGATGCAGCAAACCTAAGTACTTGTTAAACTAATTCTATTTAAATAGGGAATTAATGTTATATTTTTAAGTAGACATTTCAGTGTAAATCCAATCAGTCAAATGGAAATTCGCTTAGTCTGCAGGTTTGCTGCGGCGGGGGTATTTTAGTTTTCAAAAGCCATGTAGCTCTTCAGTTCAATTATGTTGTTTGTTAGTGTTTAAAAGAAATTCAAAAATATTTTTCACGCCAGTTGCATGATACTATTTTTTGTAGTATTTGGAGCAGGCTAACTGACAGGAGTACTTGCTAATAAGTAGATTAAAATAACATTAAAGATAGGTTTTGTGTATCGGCATTACCTTTAAAACTCGTATTTTTTAATATCCTAAATAAAATATTTATTCTCTGAATATATTTAAAAAATCTACCAAAGTTATTTATCGTTCCTAATTAAGTATTTACAAAAATGAATCAACTAATCACTCTGAAACAGATCTACGTGGACAAAACAAAACCTAAAATTTGAAGTTTGACTTTCACGTCTAAGTTGGATTTTTGTCTAAGTTCTAGTTTGATGAAGATGGAGGTTACAATTTTTATTGTATGTATAAGTTTATTATCAACCAAGTTGATCGTTTTTATTTCATACGAGTTTTATTTTTTAGGTTTATTCTTTTCTAGACTAGAATAATATTATTCACAACACTGAATTAATATTTCATCATTACAAACTTGTTTAGGCCTAGTTGTAAGTTTTATGAAAGTTAAAATGTTGATCTTAATATCAACTTCTAAAAGTATTTTAATTTCATTATTTTGTAATAAAATATTTTTTTCGATACTAATTTGTACTGGGCTGCTACCACAATGGTTTGTAAAGTTTTTTGGATTTGAAACAATACTTATTCAAATTTTTTGAAGTCATAAAATTTCATTATGAGTTGGTTGAAGTTTTAGACGTTTTTTGAATTGAGTAATTTTGTATATATGTAAAACTAGATATGTTTTGGTAATGAAGTTAATAAATACTGAATTGAGTGTGACTGCAGTGTAGTAATAATTTGTAGATTTTTTAAAATAGTACGGAAATTGATTTCTTAAAATAAAAAATAGTTGGGAAATCTATGTTAAGCAGTTGGCAAATTTGAGGCTCCCCCCCTGGAATTTAACCAAGCAACGCCACTGGTTAGTAATCATAATTAAAATGCCAGTGGCAAAATAATACCGACTGGGTGGTTTGTAAATACACAGAGGCATAAATCAGACGAAAGAAATCTTTCATGTCTATCGTAGAAACATTGAAGTCGAAAAATTGAACCCTGACAACAATTAATTCTCAAGAACGTTTATTAGTGAACGTGTAATATGTAAGATGTTTTAAAGAGTCTATTTTTTACATTTCATGGCAATACATCGAGTATCCAGTAGGATTTGAGGGATCGTGTTTACATCGTTCGTCATTTATATTTTATAGTGTAGTATCACTGACTATAACCTATAAGTATTGTACATTGTAGGCCTAGTCGGCAATAGTATTTAGTAATAAGGGGTTGGATAGGCAAAACAGATGCTGTTATCATATTGCCGTCTCGAACTGAAGGCGTTACTTGCAATGCACGCGTTCCATTATCTCAGTTTATACAGAGTTCAGCCCATGACGCTTTAACTTTGTTTGGACCTATTTTAGAACAAAGTATTCAATCTTGTACCGGAGTTATATTTTTTTGTTTAGTGGGTTGCTTTTTAAAATTAGTTGAGCAATAACTAATATATTTCAAATGAGATATTAAATTTAAATGAAAAATACTGAAGGGGGTATCCTAACTTACAGCTCATTTTATTGTGTACATCAAAAAGTACAGCAGTCTTTAGTGATTCATTAGCGATTTAAATACCGATTTCGTTAATTAATGGTTAGTTGGAGACCCTAATTCGTGTAGGTTTCCAAATAATTATAATTTGTGATAAAAAAGTAAAAAATAACAAAAATACATTAACATTTTTTTATTATTTTCAAGTTTCTATTTTTAGACTTTTGGCTACTTTTATTGAGTATTTTCAAGAAATGTGTATTTCTTAAAATAAGAAGATTTAAAGAGATACAAGATTGAAGAAGAGATTTAAAGAAGTAATTTGTAGGAAGTCTTTTTATCTTTGAGAACATCACCTTTCACTTTGGTCGATTTCCTCACAATTTAAAAGTTATTTGAAAAAAAGCTAAACAGCCTCCAAATTTATAGTTGTTAGAAAATCTTGAATTAGAGATATTTTTGTAAAAATTTGTACAACTAAATCTACAGTTGGGGGTACTGGACCTATTTTATTAATTAATAGGACAATGACAATCCTTATCCATGTAGATTTGAAAATAATTATGAAAGTGTGATTTTTTTAAGCAGTTAATTCCCGGTGCGCGTTGCTGTGCTTAAGAACTATTATTTTAAACCAAGTGAAACCCGTCGAAATCGACGGTTGCTTCAAAGGCTTACGATAATTCTAACTGCGACAGAGTGAAATTATAAATAATGTGAGTATTTAGCTTTGTTTAATGAGTAATAAATAAGTGTAGAAACAATTATGACTATTGTGTTAGTATCGTTACAAAATTCAATTAATAACATATTTCGTATACCGTCCGTCATAGGTGTTATTGTTCCTATGTTAACTGGTTATTCTTCTTTTTGATGAATATAATAACATGAAGAATGCTTTTGGATGAATATTTAAATAGTATTAAAATCATATTGGTAGACCTATTGTGGTACACACTTCTAATTAATAGCTCAAATGAAAGCTGGTATTTAATTAAATATTTTTAGACCAAAACATATAGGGTAATGTAATTAGAACTGCTGGAATACATCTTTAATTGAAGTAAAAAAACAAAAAAAAAATTATATTTTGTTGTTAAATTAGATTAATTAATAATGATGCTTGATGACAAATATGTGCTTGCATAGCTATATTTTAAGACCAAAATTATGAAAATCGGGCTGGTAGAAGAGCCTAACGAACTCGAAAAAAAAAACAAATTTAACTCCTATAAGAAATGTACAGGGACGCATTTTGTGCATAACTCGAAATATACGTCAAAATGAATGCCGATGATTGATGGCAAATCTGTGGTGCGTCGATACCTTTAGTTTAAGGTCAAAATTATGAAAATCGGTCGGTTAGAATACCTTTAACCCGACTCGGAAAAGAAAACCCAATAATTTTTATAGATGGTAATAATTGGTTTACCACTATGCACAATCTAAACATACGAAACATGTGTTAATAATTTGACAGCTTATTGTTATATTGTTATTTAATTGATTTTTCTTTGATTGAATGTTGTTGTCAACAATTTGCATTTGTGTTTAAAGTGAATTCCTTATGTTAAGTGTGCGATTCTTATGTTATGTGCTTAATCTGTACTATTAATATTAGTGAGTAAAATGGTGTATGGAATTCACAACCATTACTTTACTAGAGACCGTTGTATTTAACCACAACGGGCTCTGTTGCTAGTATTATGTAATTTAATTTTCATATTTCCCTTGAGCTACGCCCCATGGGCTTTTAAAAATTGTCCATG